ATGAAAATTACTTAATTAAAGCTTGGAAACGTATCAGTTCGTACTCGTTGACGTGCGCAACAGTCAAAGTCGCCATCTGTTGTTTCTTTGAGACCCATATATCTCGCACATGCGCAGCGCGACGACTACCGCGCTTTAACATTTTTCTCACATTATTCAAATTGTGCAATGCCCTCCGGGAGTGCGGGTTAAACAGGTTATAGATTGAATCTGAATACAAGCGCAGGTTAAATCCGAACGCTGCCGAATGAAACCGAAGATTGACAAAGGTTCAGGTCAGTGGTTCAAACGAAAATAATTTGAATGTTTTCATGTGGTATTTACGGGTAAACGTTTGTTTTTAGATAAATTATTTTTGTCGCCGTACAGCGCGCTCGAATTTAGCCGGCGTAAACATGGTATGAGACTCGTATTGAACACGAGCATTTCAGCGACGACGCAGTCACGTGCTTGTGAGCGCGAAGCCGACCAAACACCATGACGATATCAGATGTGTGGTGTGATGTGATAAACGAAAACAATGTATGCAGTGAGAATTGGGTTGAGGCTGGCATTGTTTTTTCTAATTTCTAAATGTTTGTAAAGTCTGTTATAGATTGGAGTAACATGTTGATAATGATTTGTAATTATGTAAAAAAAAAATATTTTAATTTAGAATTGTTGAACATACTATACGAATTCAAGACAGTATCGGATGATCACTAGTACACCGTATACACCAATGTAAGGCTTCGCTACGGTGTAGCAACTTGAATGCCTAATTTATGTCTACGTTCGATTCATATTTCCTAAAAAAAAATGGCGATAGTTTCACACCAATTATAAACATTACCTCCGGGGCGTACACATTCATAAATAAACAATCTTCTGAAAACATCTTTTCTGCATCAACTCCTGGAAGTGTATCAAACACCTTTGCCAAAGTTTGTGGACACGCCTGGCCATAGTATGTTGCATCACGCTCACCTTCCCACGACGGCGGGGGTCCCGGACGAGCGAAACGATAGTCTCCGACCGGCGGCGCAGCAAACGGAATTCTGCCGTAGAATAGAACGTTGGTTGTTTCGTCCATTTGACGCCGGAAACCCCGTAGTGTACCCTGTCCAGGGATATCTACGTAAACATCCTCATCGCCTTCACACGAAATAAATTTGAAAGTTATTAATAAAACGATTATGATATTACCCCACATTATATTGTTAGTACCGTACGCGGCTATGAAGCGATTTGCAATGAACCGGTGCTGCTTGATACAGCCTGTTATTTCGATATGATTATCTACGCAGTAAAGATGGCCCATTTGATTATTCAATGTATAAAGGTGAAGGAAAATAAACCTAAACAATGGTGTTAGTGAGCCAATGTAAGGGTGTGCATCCTTGGCTTGTTTTCTGGAAGATTTTGTTTTAACCCTCTGACTTTGGGATGTTCACGGTGGCAGCCATGACGTGAATAGTACATGTTTCCAATCTCTCTATATTTTCAAAGGTTATTTCATCCTTTATATATTTGATGCAATCATTTTTGAACAGGAACTCATTGAAACAAAAAACTGCAAATTCGTAAATAATAATTCATAAGAAAAATAACAAAAAATAAAATAAAAAATACATTGAAAAGTTCGCAATGTTTTTCATATATAGCGTCGACGAGAAACTTGCTGAAATCGCAGAATACGCAAAGTAGATCAGGCTCCCGTAATAATATTAGCGTCGATGAGAAACTTGCTGAAATCACAGAATACACAAAGGTGGTCAGGTTCCCGTAACCTGACTCAATGTTCGACGCGAGTTTCTTGAATTGTTAATGAGCTCTTGTATTTTCTGTTTGCTTTTTTTAACTTCAAATTGATAGTTGCATTTGTTATAAGTTGATATCAAGATCGTAATACATGTATAAGTTAATATCTACATAAAAACGGTGTGTATTTCTTGTGCGCAGTAACTCGACCGAGGTTTGACCTTTATGTCGATATACAGAAATAGACGCAGATAACAATATACGTTATGCTCTTCTTTCTTATCTTGTTTTATTGTTGAGTTATTAGAAGATTAGATTTTCGTGCTTTCCAACTAAAAATGAATACGTTAATGAATGAATACGTTAAAGTGTGATAGGTCCAAGGTGAAGATCAAATATTTTCATGACAGAAAAAAAAACGAATCATTCTTTGCGCACGTTTTAAAAAATCCCAGAATTCTTCCGAGTTTTGTTTCTGCGATGCGTTAAATAGTTTGATTTTCTCTCTACTAACAACATATGAGAATGATTATGCTTCGCCGGCCGCGTTTCATAACACATATTCAACCAAATTCATTCATTATCTATTAAATGTGATATAATTAAGAATATACTGTATATAGATTTTGAAAAAAAATACGGTGAACTTTTGACAGTCCTAGTTATCACTGCTTAAGAATAATACAATGTACGCAAAAAATGTAGGGTAAAAATATAGAAAAAAAAACAAAAAAAATACACACTTTCACCGATGAGGACGCTATACAAACATGGCCGCTATACGTGTCTGTGGTCGTATCATTTTGAGTCCAATCGCGTTATGTAAAACTTCACGTCTTATGAAACAGTCTATAACTGTTTTGAAACGGTATTCCAGTAAGAAGGTGGCTGAACGAGGGGAATGTCACGTAACTACCCACTTGGACTATGGATTGCTTTACGATTCGCTGCAGGATTTTGATCACAGAGGTTAGGTCGGCTTCAAAAGTTGCAAACGCTGTGCACTTTCCGCGGTCTCCGAGATAAACAAACTCTGGAAAGCACATGAATATGTGTATATTTCATGCTAACTTTTATTTGTGATCACGTTATTGTTGTTTTTTTCTTAAACAGTTTTTATTCGATGATTTATCTTCAAATTCAGATACAGTGTAAACCAAGTTTAATATTGGTTTACTTCGTATGTGTGGGCACCGTCCCTCAGTTGATGGTCGGTGGTATGGGGTATTGTTTTTTAATCCTAATAGTATCCCGGGAATCAAACCAAATCGTACCGGTGTGCATGAAGCATGCTGGCAACAAGCGCCCTCTGTGTGGAGAGTGCCACCTTTCCTATAAATCGCTTCTATGGAAAAGGCTGATAGAGGCAGTTCTAAGCATAAATACGATTTAAGGTAGAGATGCAGTTTATTTGTGAATTTCAATCCAAAATAGTTTTTTTCGTTTTTATATAGATTTTTATCTAAAGAACATTCTGTGAAAATTTGACCAATGAATTCTTATTGGACCACCG